GAGAATCTGGAGGAGGAGATGTCGAAAGCATCGAAATTGATCGCAGAACAGCCAGAATCACCTTTACAGACGCGCAAGGTAGATCATTTTGAGTTACATCTGTTAACGTTTTAGTCAATAATCTTCCTATATTCTCACTTCGTCAGTGGTTGTAATCTTACCTTTAGTGCAGAGTGACCGAAGATGACGGAAACAAAAACTGCTTATAAAAGCTTAACAGATATGAAACCGAAACTAAACTTCCTATTTTATGTTCTATTCAACGCTGGTTAAGGCCAGTATGAAAGTGCATTCGTATTTCACATAATTCTGTTTGCATTGAGCATTGGGAAAAAGAAGTTACATAAACCTTTAAAAGGTTAGCGAGGAGAAAGGCTCTGCGAAGGTTCGTAATTGTAAGTGAATTAATCCGCAAGGAATTCACGCGCTCGCTTTACAGTATTGCCTTATTTGTAAAACCTCGCCCGATAATACATGCAATAATAGCTTCAAATCTCAAAAAAACTGATATAATTTTCATAGCAAGGCAATGCCTGTGGGTTTTCTGTCGCCGGATGTAACCTCTTTTATCGAAGTAGATAACCAATGCAGTGTATTGTTTATAAATATGCCTTCGAAGCAAGAATACTTGTTATATGAAATACTATCGTTTCAAGGAACATCACAAAAGTAAACTTCATCGTGTAACAACTGCCTCATTCATTGTTATTATCCAACTAAACTAAGTAGAGTACAAACAACGTGCAAATATCACGCGATATTTGGTCAGTTTGTTATTTTGTGTTGTGAAAAAAAAAAAACCTGTATGACCAGTCGGCTACGTGTGCTACGCTTCTCTATCTGCTTGCTCCGCTTTCCCACCTTACAAGAAAGAAATGCATATAAGATAAAGCAGTTGGATAATATATAACTTATTAAACGTTTTGGTGCGTAGTGTTGCTGAGTATTTGAACTCGTTGTTTGCATTTTGACTCGGACGCCCTCGCGATCAGTTTCATGATGAACTTGGCCACGTGCATATCCTGTTGCTTCACTTGTGTTGTGAACTAATTACAATACATCGCTGTATAAACACTGTCCCCCATCGGTAAAGAAGTACGGGCTCTTCCAAATATGGCACCATTCGTTAAATACTCAGCGATAACACATAGCAAAACGTCTAATAAGATATCTATACTTCCGGCATACTCAGTCCGCTGATTTCTAAAATCTATTCCGGAATCAATTTGAATAAGGACTCAACGACAAGTCCTATCGTAATGATATTCGCAAGACGTGCAACCTAACGACTAGTTTTTATTATTATGATTATTATTACTATTATTATTATTTGCAACTGACCTAGTCGCAAAAAGAGTGTGGGGCCAAATTCATACTTTTCATATTTCAATAATCAGTCAATATTGCAACGTTCGCCGCACAAAAATATTTAGCAAAGAGGATTAGGTATTCTCTTTAAACATAGAAAGAAGGGTATCATTCTCTGCTTTTAGCTATAAGGTGCACTAAATGCAAGAGCTGAACAAGGAAGCATGCAAATCTTCCTTGATTTCAAGGCCATAGACATGGGGTCGTAATGACATTCACAAGTCGTGCAATCTAACAACTTATATTTTTTGTATGTGCAAATAACCTAGTCGCAGATAGAGTGTTGAGCCGACCCCACACTTTTAAGAACTGTACGCTTCAAGTTTCTCGCATGCCCCAACATCGAGGAAGATCCTCCAGACTGGAGGAAACGAGGAGAGCTTCACTGGATGAGGTGGGTCCATTTTGTTAGAAAGTGCATGCTCCCTGCGGTTGAGGGATGAAAGTTGGTGCCCCTGGAGTACACGTGCAGGCTGTAAGTGGTCCTAAAAATAGGACCCACTTTGATTTAAAACTAGGGGAGATCATGGCTTCTTTGTAAGCCCACACTTCAGCATGTTCACTTCATTATGTATCAGCTTATTCAATCAGATCATACCCCAAAATAAGTTAGCGCTGCGCAATGAATGAAATGTTTTTGGTTAATTTTCGCACTTCTTTACATTTTTGTATTCAGGAAAACTCAATTAAGGGCCAGTGCTGATTGGCGCACAAGAATACAAAAGTTTTCTCCTTCTGTTTTTGTTTACGCTGATAAACAGCAGCCTCAAATAAAATATCTGTATTGAATGCTATAGCTCCTAAGGGTGTAGGTGCCCAGCCCTTTGTCAAACACCCATTACTTTTCACTTTTTAACAGTATGAAAATCAAGACACTTGTCGAAACAATAGTAGACAACGAAATAGCAGTACGGAAGAACCTTCTTCCTCGCAGGAGTCAGCATCTGCAGCATCAGTCCAGAGTGAATCTCCAATTCCCGAGCATTGCATAATCGAAGTAACTGGTTTGCCAGATGGTGCATCTGAGGATTTGGTAACAAACTACTTTGAAAACGTCAGACGTTCTAAAGGGGGTCCTGTGTCTTCCGTAGTCATGACACCCGAACTTCGAAAGTGCCTTGTCACCTTTGAATCTCCTGATGGTAAGGCTGAACGATGAAAAATTCACGTTATTAAATTTAATATTTTATTCCAAAAAAGTGTTCGTAAAGGTTTAAATTCAACCCTTTTAGATGCAGAGAGGACAATAAATCATTCATCTCACGTTTTGAGCGGAGCAAGATTACAAGTCTCCCTGTTTGTGGAGGAGGATGAAAGTGCCGACGAATTCGGTGAAAACGAAGGAGAAGACCAAGACTTGGACGAGGAAGATAGCATCACCATTATTGTTAGCGACATCCCGTCGTCTACCTCAGAAGATGCAGTGACTTTCTACTTTGAGAATTCTAGACGATCAGGAGGAGGCGATGTCTCCGAGATCCATTACAAAGATAGCGGGGAAGCAGTGATAACTTTCTCTGAGGTGAAAGGTACGTAGTACTTCCCTTGAAAAGTCGTCAAGGTGACAGATTTATTGATGAGTTCAGGTCTTTCTTGAGAAAAAGGAAACAAGTTCAAAGCTAATGCATGAGAAATAATTCGGTCTCATGATGGTTGGTGATGGGAGACGAGAGGTTCTTCATCGTCACTGATATTGCAACTACAGCAGTTCCCGAGATACTCAATTTCTTAAACAGCTTAAATTGCAAGTTTGCTTTGGATGTCAACCCGTCACTTACTATTATTTATAAACTGATAAGAATTTTTTCTATATATCAGTTGCGATCTAATTTCTTTCGCGGTATAAGAACATTCTCAAATTTGCTGAGTCCCCAACAAGTGGCCTCACAATATTGGTCAGTCATTTGGTAGCTGCGCCAAGCCTACACCGCCTGCGTCGAAGCTAGATAGATTATTCTCCAAGTTACTTTTGAAGATTACCGTATTGATAGCTTCCCGTTTACTGAGTTACCTATATTTGCCCAGTCTTTTGCTGACAGCTTTTTGAAAAACTAGCTTGAAAAGGTAATATGGATATACTGGTTTTATACTAGTGGTATAAAAATTAAGCCCCCTATCCTTTGCACTTTTTTTGAGCTGCATGGATAGCAAGGACTGGTGAGCTCTCTCTTGACGAGAATGTCCAAATTTGCTCACAGATCCACAGCACAATTCAGGAAAACAAGTAGTATTTATTTAAATATTTTGATTACAGTAAAATTTTAAATCGTAATGTTTATTACAGACCTGCAGCGCCTTCTCGAGGAGCCACACAAAATTGACGGCCAAATAATAACAGTAATACGACAGCCTCCTCTGAAAAAAGTGCCTCTTGATCCATTGAGACTTCATGTTCAAGGACTTAGCGTAACAACCTCTAAAGATTGTTTGTCCTTTTATTTGGAAAAGTTTGCTGATGTTGAAGTTGAAGAGGTGTATCTTGGTGTAAAGAATAATGCCCTGGCAGTTTTTGAAAGTGAACCAGGTAATTATGATGGTTCGACTAAATAACAATTTAATGGCTATCTCGTTCTTGAAGTTGATTCATATGCAAAAAGAAGTATTTTAGTACTATAAGCGTAAAAGAAAAAAAGAAGTAACGTGAATAAACATCCAGTTGCGACTCGCAAATTTAGGGTGTAGTACTGGTTTTGGAGTGTTTTTATTGCTTAATCATTCTCAACCATTTTTTCTAAACTTTGTTATACTTCAAGCCACATTTACCTTGGACAACACTTTTATTCGTTCCTTGTTCTGGTTGATATATCTTTAATAGAAGTTACAAGTTACAGTAGGAAACACCGATCTTCATGTGTGTTAATTGAAAAATTGGTAAGCTCTTTATGTCAAAATCTTTACACTGTCAATTACACACGTGGTAATATCACTGTTCTCCACATATTATCTATTTCAGACTTTGAATCACTCTTGCATAAAGTTAACAAAGACAAAAAAGGCCTAGAGGGAAAGAAACCTCGCCTAGAAAGAGTACCAGTCTGTTCATGTATTCTGGTCACGGGATTGAAGAGAGAATCAAGCGATCACACCATTGATCTTTATTTTGACAACGAGAAGCGGAGTGGCGGAAGGGATGTCAGCAGAGTGGAAAGGATTAGAAAAGACCAGGCTTTGGTACATTTCGAGGATCAC